ATCCATCTCCTATATTCAACTTTGTGGATATTTTGTTTGACTTGGTTGATTTTTATCTCCTTGTTGATAGTCATGTTGAACTGATTAAACTCTTAGCCTCTATAAATCAGTCCATGACTCATCGAGATACTTCGATATCCGACATTGACTGTTAGACCTCTATACTTATCTAACTGAGATATCTCCGCATCTCATGATGCTCCGACTCTAGTTTCTAGAGGTCGTTGATATGGTTCCAAAAGGAATCGCGCCCCTCAGTTGATCTTATCTTGACTTTGCCTTTGATGATTCTTGAGGTTGAATCTAGGATAGATCTTGAGGATAAACTTGTACCAGACCATGTATGCACCTTCTTAGGATTTTCAAATCCTCATGGTTTGGTTGATTCGAATTAAGCCATGATGACCGAATCCCTTCCTTAAATGAACTTTTACCTAAGCCCTGTGAACACCTCAGAATGACTAGATGGGTGTCATTGAGATGCTAGTAGTTTCAGAGATTATTTAGATCTCTTACTTTTCCATTCAGCTAACCGATGAAAGCTTAATAAGTAATGAATTATGAAATTCTAAGAATCTTTATTCGGGAGTATTTTGAGTCAAAATAAATTACTTTATTACAAAAGAAGCTCTACCAGATATAATAATTCTTAAAAAAACATCAAAAGAAAATATGTGCAAAAGGCCTCAAATATAAAATTTTGGTCAACACTCCTGAGAAGAAACTTGAGGTGAGTGGGAAATCAAAAATTTTGATATAAAGAACTTTTTTATTTCAAAATTCTCCTGATAAGATTCTTAGAATATTGAGGTTCAGAGAATTGTTAAGTGACATTGAGATGATTGATAAATCAATAATTGGTCTAAAGACATCTCCAAAATGAAAATATTTTCTTAACCACTATATACGAATGACGAGACCTATTTAGGCTAAGGGTGAAAAGAATTAAAGAACAGGGGATAGGGAAGAGTACTTAAGGAAAATCTCACCTGGACTTGAATTTTGTAAACATCATGTTTTGCATGGTATAGCTGGTTAAGAATCTGAGATGCCTTCATGAGAGCTCCTCATACCATTTCAATTTGGTATCTTAAACAAAATCATTCTTGATACGACTTATGCTGGAGAATTAAAAAAATACATGTTGACATCAATTTTTGATATCACGAATGTAGGGTGTCTACCTGCATGACTTGGGATTACTTACTACATGTCTGTAACATCCGATAGTTCAGACACCCACCTGGGACCGTTCGACACGTGTTGAGAGGCATGTAGCCAGGGTCATCCTACTAGGTTTTGGCTTTCGCGTAGGCGAAGACAGGTCGGTGTTCTGCACGTCGAACGACTCCGATCGAGTCGACGAATATTATTCATCACACCGCACACTAAATAGGCTCGAATTGACCCGAGCGTCAACGAAATTGTCCAAATGAACCCAGAAGACGAAATGGATCACGTGAGTGTGTCCAGAATGTCAATTTCAGCTAGGGAGGACGTTCATTTCGCCACAGCTTTGTTGGGGACTACAAAAGTGTGCAAATTATCATTTTTGGCCCGATTGTAAAAAAAATGGTTTGAATGACCCCGAATGACAAAACAAACCCCGCCGACGAGTCCGAAATGTCGATTTTACCTATGGAGAACCTTCACTTCAAAATGATGGCGTGTATAGTATTACTCAAGCAATAAATGACTCTAATGGAGTCCTAGATATCGATCCTACAGGGAAGTCAGAAAAACCTACAAGTAAATTTTGAAAATTATTTTATAATTTAAAAATAATTATAATTTTGAAAATTATTTTATAATTTAAAAATAAAAAAATAAAAGTAAAGTGCGAAGTTTGAATATTAACTACTAAGGTGAATGTTATATAAAATGCAGTTGAAAGACATAGTTAACTATCTAAAAATTAAACTTTCAAAAGTAAAATTACGAGATCTAAACAAAGTTTTTGTTGATGGAAGATTCAAATTTAAGAAAGTATCCTTCCCCTTTACAATGAGTATATGGATTGTGAAGAAATTAAAATCATTTTGAAAATATATATAAAAACTGTTTTATGCCAATAAGAGCAATCATATTCTTTACCCTCTTCCAAGTGCTATAAAGAACATTGACTAATCCAAAGTTTGGTCCCTAGGCGGGGCGGACCCCCGCTGCCACTCAAGAGCTCTCACTACTCCCTCCCCTAAGGGCTAACAATCTCACATTAGTTTCCAATCTATTGGACCAAATTGGGGATTTTAATCTGTTACCTTAAAATCTCTAATTCTGCATCCAATAAAGTATATTTTTCTATTTATTTGCACTCAATTCCATGGATGACATACTCTCCTATAAAATCAAATGTGATTATCCCCCTGTTGTAGAAATCATATCCCTTTTCAGAACATATGTTTCTCAACATGGTTTAACATTTAATTGGCTATATCGAAAAATAATTGAAGATCGGAGTTCAAATCATCACAAATTATTAACATTTAAAACCATAGAAAACAAAATCAATTCTTCACGAAACCATATCTCAAAATAGGGAGAAGGATAAAGAAGACTACTCAGAATTCATGAGAAGGATATGATAAAACAAAGATTTCATATATAAAAACAAGTTTACAAAACAAAAGAAATAAAAGACACAACTTATCTCACAATCCTTCTCAATCAAATCCCAAGAAGTTCTCTCCAAGTATTTCTCTCTTTACAAACACACTCAATTCTCTCTTAGAAGTGTAATGAAGAAGAAATCTCTCACATTCCCTCTCCTCTTACAACCCTAGAAGAAAATGTCATCTTCTTCTCTCCTATTCTTTCACACCACCCACTTTCTTGTCCTTTTCGTCCCCCCTTCAAATCCTTAAAATCTTGCTCTTTTATTTTGGGTTGTCTCTCTTCAAAAGAAATTCAAAATTCCCTCTAAAAGTCAACTCTTTTGAATTCCAAAGATGTGTCATTTGATCTAAGAGACATATCCCTTCATGAAAGAACCTTCCAAAGTGTCAAGATGCATTGAATTACTCCAATAGGTGTGTAGAACAAGTGTTCATATGAAAATTCACGTAAAATTTGTCTTGAACCTCCTTAATCCGCAAAAAATCGTCTCTGGCGCATCATGTGCCAGTTCTGACGCATCATGCGTCAAGCGTCTGTCAAACGGTGCATCATGCGCTAGAATTCCAAAATTCGCTGTTTTGACTTCAAATTTCGTCTTTTTTGCCATTTTTCTCCAAATACCTAAAAATGATATAGATGCAACAAAAAACATGAAAATCCCCTTTTTAAAGTACAATATCACCAAAAAATAAGCATAAAATATGCACTTAAAATAATATATTATTTTGGTGTATCATGGGATGATTGTGAAAGTGTTAACAACCATAGGACGATGGTAGTGGCTCGAAAGTGGCGGTGTAATGGGTGGAGCTTAGGAATCCTCAGGGCCTCAAAGCTCTCTTGGGTCTTCCGCCCGCAACCCCCCGGTTTGATGAAGAAAGTGAGAGTATATTTATTTATTTTTATAATGGCATTCTTTGTATCCACTACAAGAATTTGGATCATATTAATTTTGGGGTCATTTGGTTTGTCTCAATGAGACATTCAGTTTGATTGTAATTTTTTTGAATTTGAGTGTAGATGGTCCCTAAATTGATTTCGGAAGCTTCTATTCCCAATAGGCACTGAGAATTGTGTTTAATCAAGAGAACTTTTTAATAACATATCAACATATATTGCTAATTATATGTCTTACACCCTTGATAAAAAAATATTGATATATTAGTGCCAAAACAATGGTTATATTGAGCTAAGACAAATCAAGACATAAATTGATAAGTCATGCATCAAGAGGATGCTCACACAAAATATCAATCTATGCATTCCATTTATACCAAACAACTAAGAGGTCAAGACCCAACACATCACCTAAATGTGTGCATAAGTTTTAGTGTTATAAGATTCCACTCATATATATATAATAGGCTAGTGAGCTAGCTCATCATGAAGGTTCCAACCACATTAAGACTTGCCATCTAAACATTGGATTTTCTTAGTTAAATAAAAATTAAATATAGATAGAGTTAAAAATATTTTAATACTTATAATTACTTAATTGTCTTCAAGCTTGCTAGAGCTTTATAGGATCCTAATTCAAGTATGTTTAAACATTTTCTAAACTTTCTTTTAACAAGTTATAAGCTTAATCAACCATATTTAAAGCTTCCATCAAACTTTGTTAGAAACTTAGTTGAACATATTCCGAATAAATTTTATTCGAATTTGACTTCAAAAATAATTTGTTAATACAATCATTATCTTTATCTGAATGATATCTTTTAAGTACAAGTCTCTACAAAAATAAACAACATGAATATTTGATCAATTACAAGTATACGTATATAAAGTACATTAAAAAAACTAATTTTATAAAAATAAATATTATTTTAGCAAATATATAATTTAATAATGTTATATATAAAATTTAATTTAATTTTCACATAATATTTCAACTAAGAATAACTAGTAAACATTTACCTAAAATATAAATAAAATTAATTCCTTTTGTAGTAAAAATCTCAAAATTTAACCAACGCAAAATAGATTCAATTAAAATTTAAAATCTAACCAAAGCCAAATAGCCTAAAATTTCAAACTCTCATGAAACCCATTGCATGTATTAAGATAAAAGTTACATACATATCCCTCAATTCCTATGCATTTACATATTTAACTTCTAAACTTCAATTTTTATATATATGCTATTTTATCAACACATGAAATGTGTATTTCACTATTTTTAAAGTCAAAATAGTAATTTTTTTTAATGTAATATGAAAAATTTGCATGGTATAAAGATAAAATATAAAATTTTGATGTTATTTATGTAAATAAATTAAAATTTGATGGTATGTATGTAAATGTCACAATAGTTAAAAACTCATTGGATCCTCATCATCATCACGATTCGTGCTATATAAACTTGATGCCCGTGCGCCACCTATACTTTCTTTTTTTCTTACCCTAGCCGTCGAGATAGCGATCCACTAGAACATTTTCTCTTCTTCCACCTTGTTCCTATCAACACGCCATCCGAAGATCAATTCATTAATTGGAGATTCTCCCTTCGCCGCGCCCATAGCCGCAGCAGCATCCGCGGCGGTGCAGACCCGGAAAGGGAGAAATAAAAGCTAGGATTTGGGTCAGAGTGCGGTAAGGAGAGGGAGCGGAAGAAGGGGAAGTAGAAGATGACGGGAAAGGCGAAGCCGAAGAAGCACACGGCGAAGGAGATAGCAGCGAAGGTCGATGCAGCGACGACGAATCGCGGCGGTGGTAAGGCTGGGCTCGCAGACCGATCGGGACAGGATAAGGGAGGGCATGCTAAATTTGAGTGCCCCCACTGCAGGATAACCGCTCCAGATATGAAGTCGATGCAGATCCATCATGAAGCCCGACACCCTAAGATCCCTTTTGAAGAATCAAAGCTCACCGATCTCCATGCCTCCAACGCTGGCGATCCATCCAAGCCCCGCCCAGGGGTTCGGGGAAGCTTCAAAAAATAGCTTCAGCTTTGCTATTTCGTATAGCAGTGTGAGCTTTTCAATAACCTTTGCTTTCCTTCTGTCATATTCTGTCTTTGGCTTCAACTTTTACGATGTCGTGATGTATTTTTATGATATTTGCTCGACTTCATGCTGTCATCGCTGCTACAAGTAAGAACATGTGAGATTCCGTATGTCTTGGTTATCAGAGGACTTGAAGTTGAACTTTTTGTAGTAGTTTTCTTAAACGGTGCTTGCTTTTATGTAATGCGCTTCCCATAGCTTATTAATCTGGGTTTTTGTTTTTTATTTTCTCTGTATTCACATGGTTGATAATCGCACAATATTTACGATTGACGGACAAGCTGCCGTTAAGAGTGAAAACATCAAGATAATTCTGACAGCTCGAAATAAATTATAGATTATATATAATTTTCTCTTGAACTTGAAAGGTGTCATAGATGCTATGAAAATGTTGTGTTGGTTGATTTCGTTTATTCTTTGGAAGACAGTATTAGAGTTTAATTGTTTTTTTCATATGTATAAAATACAACATGGTGATGTCATTTTATCTATTTATGTTGTGTTGGAGAGAAATAGCTTTTGGTTGATTATATGATATGAGAATTGTTAGTTATGACGGTCAATGCAGGGTGGAAAACAAATTATGATTTAGATATATTACTGTATCTGGTCATATTCCAAGTGACATGGATCAGCTATTTCTAGCAACTCTCTTAGATTCTGATTGGATGTTTGGTTTGTAAGAGAAGTGGCTTGGAAAGCAAGTGTTTTCTTTTGGTTATGCGTTTAGAGATCTGATTACAAATTGAGGACAAAACAAAGATTTGAGATAAGAGAAACTAAAATAAAAGAAATTATGTATTTTTTCCTCTTTAATTGAGTGATTTAAGAGGGGAAAGAGGGTGATTTGTTCTCAAAGAGTGTGATTTGTTCTCTTCTTGATCAGGAGTAGAAAGAAAAAAAATGATAATTCATTTGACATATTTCGATGCGGGATTAAGATGCTTGTTCCTTTCATTTCTTCGGCAGGAGCATAGCATCTTCATACGTGGATCAATACCTCTTTTCTTATGTGCTGATTGTAGTCTAATGTTGGAGCAATTATTAGGTGTGGAGTATGCACATGTGGATTTTGTTGTATTAGTTGTATTGATACAACCAATACAACCAAAATAAAACAAAATCTGTATGTGCGTAATCCACCCCTAATAATTTTTCCTAATGCTGTGCTTTCTATCTGGGAGATTTCACTGCTTTGGGAGCCAGCTATTTTACTATTTGAGTTTATGCAAGTCAGTTTCTATTTCTTATTCTTCAACTACTAATTATGGGCATGATGTTTGCCGCTATTTGCATATTTTTCTAGTTTATGGGATTTCTTTCACATTTGTTTGTTGGTGTGCTCAATCAAATTTGTAGTTTTTTGGTTAGATTTCAGGAATATATTTATGTTTCTTTAGAATTGGATTATGGATAAAATCATGTTTGAATTTGATGGTTTTTATGACTCAAATTTGGTTGATCTTGTTCTAACCATAGCTTTTTATTTAGGGATGTGGAGTTTATAAATAGACAGACTTACGCATGTAATTGAATAACTTTGGTAAATTAAAAGTAGTATAAAACTTGGATTTATGAATTAATAAAGTTTGGCTTTAAGTGTGATTTTCTAATTTCGAAGAAAGCTATTTTCTTGTACCAACTCGATGCATCATCATCTTCTGTTTTTTTTTTTAAACTTTGGTAAATACTTTTGTTTACCTAATTTTTTGGCATAATTTTTTATTCGCTTATTGGAGTTCTTATTTTTATTGAAGTTTGATGCTACCAAAAGTGTAATTGTGGTGATTAAATCACAATTCATAGTTGATTTGTCATTATTTGAATTTCTCTTTACTTTATTCACATGCCTTCAATCATTGTTTTTTTTTTTCTTATTTGTTTTAATTCTATCATGTTGTTTTGCATCTCAAGAAGCTCATTTCATTTTTTTTTTACACTTAGTGACCTAAGATATGGGTATCCTATGTTTTTCTTGATCTATTACATTGCGTCATTATGGTTGAGAAACCCTTAATCTAAATCATGCATGTAACTAATATAAGAGCTTATGTTTATATCATGTCATCTTAATGTAGAATATATTAATTAATTGGGCGAACAACAACAACAAGTCTTTATCCCACTAAGTGGGGTCGGCTACATGAATCTTTTTTCTCCATTGTGTCCTATTGAATGTCATATTTTCTTTTAATTCTAATAAATTAAGATTATTTTATATACAAATGCCAAGTCTTTTTAGGTCAATCTCTTCCTTAACGTAAGTCGAATCTAAAATATCTATTATCCTAAAGGGATCATCAGATGGTCGACATTTAATATGACTAAATCGTGTAAGTTGATTCTCTCTTATCTTGTCCGCCACTAGAGCTACACCAGCCCGTTCACTGATACATTCGTTTTACATTTTGTCTTTAAGTGTCAAGCCGCTCATCCACCTAAGCATTCTCATCTGTGCAGCACTTAACTTAGTTTTGTGCTTCTCTTTTAGAGGCCATAAAGCATAGTAGGTCTCACCAACATCTTATAAAATTTTCATATAAGTCTGAGCGGTATTGTTCTATCATATAATATGGCATTTCTTCATTTCAACCAACCAACTTGAATTCTACTAATAACATCCCCATCTATATCACCATCAATAGACCTCAAATATCTAAAACTTTCACATATTTTAATGATTTGATTACCCATAATTTTAACTCTATCACTAGATCTACTACTACTAAAATTATAGTCTATATAAGTTCAATTTTAGATCTACTCAAACGAAGAATTTTAGACTCCAATATAAACCTCCGTAGTTCAAGTTTTTCATGAACTCTTTCTCGTCTTCTCTACAAGAAAAATATCATCAACGAAAAGCCTGCTCCAAGATACATCCGTCTGTAAATGTCCAATAAGAGCATCCATAATTAAAGTAAAAACGATATGGACTTAAAGTTGATCTCTGATGCAATCCAACTGAAATAGGAAAATGCTTGCCAATCCTTCTGTTCGAACATAAGCAACAACTCTAGTACACATTAATAACTTGAATATAACTCCTATGAAAATCTTTCTTTTCTAAAACTCTTCAAAGAATTTCTCTTGGAATTTTATTGCGAGCTTTCTCTAAATCAATAAAAATCATATGTTGATCCTCCTTACCCTCTTTGTACTTTTCCATCAAATCTCTCAATAAATGTACAACATCCATAGTAGGCTTGTCGACATAAATTCAAACTCATTATGAGAAATTTTTGTATCACGTCTTATCCTATGTTCAATTACTCTCCCATTAATATATGACACATTAACTTAATTCCTCTATAATTTGCACACTCTTGTACATCTCATTTATTCTTAAAAATGAGACCAAAATACTCTTCCTCTACTCGGGCATCCCTTTAGTTTTTAAAATAATATTAAAGAGTTTAGTAAGCCAAAAAACTCTCAAATCTCCTAAATATTTCTACACTTCAATTGGGATATCATCAGGTCCCACTGATTTCTCATCCTTAATTTTCTTTAAAGCGTCATCACCTTCAATTTTACTAATGCGGCGGTAAAATTAAAAGCAGTTTTATTATTATTAACGATATTAAAATCACTAAGGTTCTTATTTTTCAATTTTTTTTTAAATGTTATCAAAATATCTTTATTTTTTATATTCATCTCTAATACATTTTACTTGAATTAAATATTTACTTTTCTTTTCTCTTTGTTTGTCTAGTTTATATATTATATTTTTCACAATCTTTAGTGTCTAATCTATTGCAAATATCACTAAAAGCAAAATTCCTAGCATCACAAATTATTCTCTTGGACTTTTTGTAAATCAAATTTTACAAAAATTATATTTTTCGGGCCACCTTATATTTTTCTCAGTTCTCTAAATTTTTACATTTAAATCAAATTTTACAACACTTTTTGTATTTTATATTTTCTTATAAATTATTATTCCCAGCCAACTATTTTTATTTATGAAAACATTTCCTCTTGATTATTTAAATAAATCTTTTACCATTTGTTTAATGTACTTGTTACTTTATCCCACATAGAATTAGTTTTTTCATGAACATCGCAAATCTTGGAATCTTGAAGTTTTCTCATAAAATAATTTTATTTGTCTTTTTAGTGCTTCAATCTAATTCTATGACCATATTTTATTGTGTTTTTATATCTTCTAACTCTTCATAATAAAATCTAGAACTAATAATCGATGTTGACCATTTAAATTTTCATTTGGAATAATCTTACAACCTTTATATTCTTAATGATCTTTTTTTCTCCTAAGGCATTCTTTCTTGTTATAAAAATTCTTTCTTAAAGAGGGTATCATTTGTTTAAATTTTTCTTAGTCATTCCAAAATTTTTCTTTCGAGCCTATATCTAAACCTACTTAAAAGAGCATAATCGCTTATAACATCAAAAATCGTAATATAAACAATAATCTTTAGGGCTATAGTTATATCTCCAATTCTATTAATTTTTACAATATTATCTTTCAAAATCTTATTTATAATTACACATACACCTTTTTTAGTACGACTCTTATATTAATACCAAAGTTTAATAACTTAGTTATCAATCTCTTTAGTCTTTTCTCCAACATATTTAATTTCTTGAATGCATAGGATATTCATCTTCCTATAATCCATAATATCTATTAATTCCATTAATTTACCTCTAAGAGTGTCTATATTTCAAGATCTTATCCTTAAATTAGTTTCATGGATTAAATTTTTTGTTTGCATTCGTCCATCCATAACATGGGAAACTTTTTTTATTTGACACCATATCAAGTCTCCTGTGTAACAACCCTTGCACACTTTTAACAGTAATTAGTTTATACAGCGTGTTGCTTTTAGGGGACACCCTATCTTTTACAAAATACTTTAAAAGATTCATATCATGATTTTTCAATACTAGGTGTTGACCACCTAACACAATCCCCTACTTTTCGCTGGCTATCGAATATATTGGGGCAATTAAAAAAAAAAACACAAGATGCTCAAATTAAAGGAAATATTGTAAGCTATGGTTCTAGGCAACCGCAATGTGATTATCATAAGGTACAAAATTAAATCTATTCAAAAATGTATTCCCATATTTGATGAGATATAGTCTTTTTACAATGTTTAATGTGAATATATAATTTCGAAGGTTTCTTCGACTACTACAACCTATTTGACTCCAAAAGAGTTAAATATGCCAAAATCAAAATCAATGGTACTTGTTAA